TATGGCCTCCTGAGGTCTGGGAGGCAGGTCCACACCTTCTTCAGAAATGCCTTGGCCTTTTCTGACTCTTTGTTATTTCTTTGTTTTTATTTTCATTTCAGAAAATCGGGAGGAGGTCTTAGTATGTTTCCCAGGCTGGTCTCGAACCCCTGGACTCAGCGATCCTCCCACCTTGGCCTCCCGAAATGCTGAGATTACAGGTATAAGTAGCCATGCCCGGCCCTCTTTGCTATTTCACATGAATTTTAGAACCAGTTTTTCCAATTTCATAAAAAATTCTCTTAGGAATGTCGTGAATCATATTAATTTTGGGAAAACAGTATTTTTGGGTCCCATCTAAACAGGGAGTGGGAAACTCAGTCCTGTGGCATCCACAGCACAGAACACAGAGATCAGCCTCCAGCCACGGCTCTGCCAAGCAAGCCTTCTCCCAGAGACTCAGGGTGTGGCCTCTGCACCACAGAAACGGCCCTCGTGGCTGTTTGATGTCACACTAACAAGACTTCACTCATGTTGGCAGAACTTTGGGGACAACGTGACCCTGCGTGAAGCCGGGAACATGGGAGCCAGATGTGGGGAGAGTGGCGAGCTGGCAGCCCAGACCGAAAGGCAGAGACCAGAGCTGCAGCCATGACCAAGAGCAACAGCAGATCATAGGACAAGAGGGGCCCCGTTCCCGTGTCAAACCGAGGGTCAGGCCATAACAAGATGCAGATGAACTGGGGAGGAAGAGTTTTTATTGCTTCAATAGGTTCCAGGGGTAAGGTCTGGAAATTATCACCAGACCAACTCAAAATTACAAAGTTTTCCAGAGCTTATGTACCTTCTAAGCTATATGTCTACGTGTAAGTGTGCGTTCATCTAAAGACACAAGTGGGCTGGACGTGGTGGCTCACGCCTGCAATCCCAGCACTTTGGGAGGCCGAGGCAGGTGGATCAAGAGGTCAGTAGTTCAACACCAATCTGGCCAACATAGTGAAACACCGTCTCTACAAAAAATTAGCCAGGCGTGGTGGCAGGCACCTGAGGCAGGAGGATGGTGTGAACTCAGGAGGTGAAGGTTGCAGTGAGCCAAGATCATGCCCCTACACTCCAGCCTGGGTGACAGTGTGAGACTCAAAAAAAAAAAAAAAAAAAAAATGACGTAAGTGATTAACTTCTTGTAATCTGTATAAGGTCTGAGTCCTGAAGCCCTTCCTCTGGAGCCTCAGTAAAGGTACTTAATCGGCATTGGTTCAGGTCCTGGGGTGATTACCCTATCTTTTCTCCTGCTAAATCACAGAGGTCGGGGAGTTCCTTCAGACCCCCAATTAGCTTGTCTGTGGAGGCCTGGGGAGTTTCTTTAGACCCAATAAAACTTGTTTAGTCCTAAGTGGGTCATGTTAAGAATTCCTTCATTATTTTTTCATGCTTTAAGGCCCAGGAAAGGGCTAGGTAAAATTCCTGATGCACTTTTGCTACATTGCAGCCTTTGTGTAAGGGATTCCATCAGTTCCGAAGCAGTGGTTATGGAGGCCTGCATTAGCGAGACCTGGCCTGCCGCACCCCCACCTAGCCCACCGGCGTGGAAATCCTGCAGCCAGACACACCTCCCCTGCAAACTCTGTCTTGTGAGCTGTGGCAGCTGGCAGCCCCAGGTGGGATGGGGATTTGCCCTCAAGACAAACACCGCTGGAGGTATGGAGCTGACATGGCCACCAGGGTGTCTCCTGTGTGATTGCAGAATCAGCCCATGCACATGCGGGGCCATTGACTTAGTCACCCCCACCCCCAGTGCAGCAGCCATGCCTAGGGAGGCTACCCCACGCCCAGCAGGAGGGTTCCCAGGAGGGTCTGGTGTGCACCAGGCTGAGCTCAGGACACGGGGATGGACGGGGGCCCCTCCTTTTGTGTCAGAGGGGACGGGTAGATAGAAAACATATTTTTCTTTGCTTTTAGCTACATGGAGTCTGAAGGATCCACAGGAGCACAATAAAGGAAGAGTCACCTGGTGCTGAGGAAGAATCAAAACTCTCACCGCCTGCGATGTGGATTGTTCAGTTTCTGAACAGTGTGCCATATTATCTGTGGTTAAAAACACAATTTAGGCTGGGTGCAGTGGCTCACACCTGTAACCCCAGCACTTTGGGAGGCCAAGGCAGGTGGACTGTTGAGAAGTGCTGACTATATGATTGGTGAGAAATGCTGAGTGCATGATAAAATTATATTGTTTTCTAAGAAGAATGATGGCAAGAAAAACCTAGCTGCCCTCACCAAATGGAAAACTGCTTGGGGCATTCTAAAGTAGCAAAATAGTACATGTGTATCATGTGCCTCTGAAAACAATTCTTTCAGCACAGGATACGTGGCCCTGCCCCATGCCTACGTTGTGGAGAATACTTTGTAGTTTGTACTTGATCAGTGGTAAGCAGGCACTAGCTGCCTCCCTAGTTTATCTTGGTTCTATGAGAAAACACAGGACATCTGCTGTTAATAATCATCACCTGTTCAGAGAGACTAACTGCGTGAGTCAGCATCTGCTCCAGGCCCTCAGTCCGAAATGCTGTCAGCTTCCTGAGGCCCTCGGCTCAGAAGGCTGTTGGCCCCTAGATAGTCCCACTTTGCTGTTCTATCTGAGTGCTTCTTAATGCCTTCAGTGCCGCCTGGGTGGGGGTCTCTATGGCCGAGCTGGTCTTGGTAGATCATAAGGTCATGAGTTCAAGACCAGCCTGGCCAACATAGTGAAATCCCAGTCTCTACTAAAAATACAAAATTTAGCTGGACATGGTGGTGGGTGCCTGTAATGCCAGCTACTCAGGAGGCTGAGGCAGGAGAATTGCTTGAACCCAGGAGACAGAGATTGCAGTGAGCTGAGATCACACCACTGCACGCTAGCCTGGGTGACAGAGTAAGACCCTGTCTCAAAAATAAAAGGATTTTCCCAAAGACCAGCTTTAGCTGTCTGCCCAACTAATTTTTCCTTTTCTCCTCCCTCAAAAGCAGCTTCACTGAGGCTGCAGCATGGAGCCATGGCAGAGGAGGCCTACCCCAGAGGCCGCGTGCGGAGAGCAGCAGCTCAGGGCAGGCAGTGGCCACATTTACACCTACGTTTAACTACATGCAAATTAAGATGTGGGATATTCAGAATTTCCTAGAAAAGGGGTGGTACTTCTGGGTCGTTGCCATAGAAAGGGGCAGTAACATCTGGGTATTGCCATGGCAATGGTAAAGCATCACAAACTCCTGGGCCTGCAGGAGACCACTGGCTGCAAGCGGCTGTTCCACCCACATGGCTAACTAACCCTTGTCGCCCGATAGTTCATCGATCCAAGGAGAGCCTGAACCAAAATTTGGGTAAAGCAGTCTCTATGGCAGTTTGGTTTTAAAAAGCAAGACAAAACAAAACAAAAAAAATTTTACCCTTCTTTCTCTTTAATTTCAGATGAGTTTTCAACATTTACATTCTAGTTAGACCATAAATAATGAGTCTTTGCACAAGCAGCTTAGTAACAGCAGCTTTAAAGCAGAAAGGAGAGGACAAGGGAGCACCTTAGAAGACTCTACTTAACTATAGCACAGGGTCTCCATTTGAGCTCTGATTTTTTCTTGCTGTCATTTGCCCATCAGCTTAAAACATGCACAAAAATGGGCTGTAATATGTCCCTAAGAGGATGAAAAAATCAGGGGCCAGAGTGTTGCAAACTGTTTTTCCCTTTTTGGGCTGGACCCCTGGTGTGGGAAGAAAGTTGCCCAGGTGCCACAGCAAGAGACTGAAGACACAATCTGTCCCAGCATAATAAACAATGGATTACTTAGATATGGACTGAACAGGAAAAAAAAAAAAAAAGGAATGCAGGAGGGAGGAAGAACAGGAAATGTAGGAGGGAGGCTGGGGAGCCTGCGGCCACTGCATGGTGCGGGCCCAGCACCCCCACGCCATCAATCATCTCCTGTCAGGGACAGCCTCGGCACCCCAGACCTGCGTGGTGTGAAATGAATCCCTCCCACCTCCACAAGTTGCCTGTCAAGGTCAACTGTTTCCAGCCACAGGGAGCTAAGGGTGCTTTGGTGGCAGACAGGAGGAGGGTGTTGGAAGGAGAGAGGGACTAGAGTGCACGCTCACACACACAAGCAAACAGCTGCGTCCAAACAAATCCCCTTCAAGGGGCTCCACAGAGTCCCAAATTCCTGGCCTCAGTTTCCAACGGCCCCTCAGGCGACTGAGCAAAGCCCGGAGGGTGCCACGAGTACAAACAAATTCAAATGCATCAAATGCCCAACTGGTGTCACTCACAGCCAAGACTAGGGCCCAGCCTCACCCCAAGAGAAAGGAAGGAGGGAGGCAGAGGGTCCCTGGGTGCACTCCAACTGATGCGCCCAGTTCCAAAGTTTCCAAGTTCCAACGTGTGTTAACTTCTCTAAAGGTCACTTTCCTTTGTACCAGCAAAGCGTTGAAGTTAGCAGGCACCGAAGCAGGAAGAGAAAGACAGGATCCCTGGCAAAAGCATCTTGGTGGCTGCAAGGCGGCTCCCTCCCATTCTGGCCACAGGCTCAGCAGCCACAAGCTGCTGGAACTCACAGGTGAGCCTACACCTGGTCCAACAGAAACCAGACGGGTGGGCTTGGGCCCCCTCAAAGCACACAATGTCCCTCACATGGGCCACCAAGATTGTTATCGAACACAAGTTCGTTCCTCATCACTTACAGAGTTCAGTGATCAAGAGCAAGGTCTGGTGGAAAGAAAGTGACTTTATTGGCCAGGCGTGGTGGCTCACGCCTGTAATCCCAGCACTTTGGGAGCAAGGCAGGCATCATGGGGTCAGGAGTTCGAGACCAGCCTGACCAAAATAGTGAAACCCTGTCTCTACTAAAAATACAAAACATTAGCCTGTAATCCCAGCTACTCAGGAGGCTGAGGCAGGAGAATCGTGTGAACCTGGGAGGTGGAGGTTGCAGTGAGCTGAGATCGCGCCCCTGCTCTCCAGCCTGGTCAACAAAACGAGACTCTGTCTCAAAAAAAAAAAAAAAAAAGAAAGTAACTTTATTACCCAAAACTAGTCATGGGCAAGTGGCCGCATTGCCATCCAAAGCAACCACTTCCAATTCCTAGGGAGAAGGCAAGGGCTTATAAAGGGGAAGCTGGCATGGGAGGTGTGCAGGAGCTGTGCTGAGTGCAGGAGCTGTGCTGAATGCAGGAGCTGTGGCCTTGCTAGATGCCCTGGGAACATCCAGGGCCCCCTGCTTCACCCAGGACAGTGAGGGGGTGCCCATGTCCCACCTGCTTGCTACTGAACTATTCTCAAAAATAACTGGAGGGGGCGTCCAGGGTACAGGCGAGGAAGGACTGAGTAGGGATGAGGCTGACCAGGGTGACCGGGAGGCGGGAGTCTCTCTGGAACTGAGAATATCACTGGAGGGGAGAGGTGATGCCTTCAGGGGATCCACAGCCTTACCCTCTGAGCCACGGGTGTCTCAGCCTGGCACAGACCAGGGACCTCGAGGAGGTCTGAGTCGGGTGTGGGAGGAGGTCACTCTCCTCTCCCCAGTCAATCTCTCTCTCTTTAATAAAAATGCTTGTTTATTCTTAGAGAACACGATTTTTCCAGATAATTTAAGTACATGTTCATTGTAGGAAATTTGAGGAGAAAAAGTGTAGAAGAAAGCTACAAGCTGTAGTTCCCCGAGAGCCGTCTACATCTGTGGGAAACCAAAAATACATCACCACTTTAGCATAAGGATTATTGTGAGCTGGTTATTTTGAGAAAACGTGGACACAGGAGTTCTGTAAACAGAGTAGTTTCCCTCTGTAAGGTAATTTCATATTCACAAAGGAAACGTCTGTTTAAACGTACGCACTCTGAGTGAAGAGATCCCCAAACAGGCTTTGTGTGAGCAACATGGCTGATTATTCACCTGGGTGCAGGCAGGCTGAGGCCGAAAGGGTGTCAGCGAAGGGGGGTGGGATAAGAGCTGGGTTTTATAGGTTTGGGATGGACAGTGCAAAGTTACAGAAGCTACAGTTGGCAGTTTTTTGCAAGCTGGGAGGGGGTCATAGGGTGTGGAGTCAGGAGGTTGGGCCAAGGTCAGTTACAAAGTCCAGTGGCCTTGTCAGTTGAGGCCGGAATAAGAAACAGTAGAGGATGGTCTTAGGTTTGTTAGGCGCCCCAGGGGTTGATCGTTCTTCCTTCCAGCTACTTCAGGTTTTCTCATTCCAAGAGGCCCTCTGGAGGTGTACGTGCGGTTCATGGGGTCACCATGCCGTCCAAGGCGCAGTCAGACCTTACAACGTCCATTTGCAAAGTGTCTCCTGCCTGTACTGGGAAGAGGGGGACCCCGGGTCACAGGAGACTGTCATCAGGGGAGCAGGCACAGCTCGGACTGGCACACGCCTCACACTGTCCACCCTGCTACTCCTAGCCTCCCCTCCACCTCGCCCTCCTTCTTTCTCTGTTTCCACAGGACGGTGGCATTCAAACCCAAATGCGAGGTCCACCTCCCTGAGAGCAGCTCACCTCTCTGGATTTCTCCCGTATACATGATACACTGATAAACTTCTGTTTGCTTTGCTCTTGTTAATCTGCCTTTTGTTACTGGGTCTGTCCCATCTGAGACCTACTAAGGGTAGAGAGAAAATCATTTTTCCTTCTGGCTGTGCTGGAAGTGTACAAAGTTCTATGTGTAAACCAGAAATAAAATTCTTAGCCCCCTGAGGCTGAATGGACGCCTCTGTGGACCAAGGGAAACCTGAAAAACGGAATTCCTGACCAAGGCGGGAAGGGAGGTCCGCCACGAGTTATTATACGCCCTCTCCCTTTTGGAGCTTAGGCACACAGGACCAGCATGAAGGTTAACACAGAGCAGAGACAGACAAAACAGAAGCAAATTCCAACCTGACCCAGCATCCCACCCCAGGACGTGCAGTGGACCCTGAAGGAATTAACGATACTCTACCCCAACATATATTTCTTTAACATATTTTGAAATGGCCCTGCAAAGCCATCTTTTGTGGGGGATACTTTGCATCTGTAGAGAATCTCCATTAATGCAGCCAGCCCTTTCCAGGATCTAGGACACCTTTTAAGGTCAAAAAGAAACATTTGCCTCTATTCTCAATGGAGGCCGCTACCTGGAGTCTTCATCTACAAACTAAGAACCTTGGCTTCCACAACCCTCTGTATCTTTTTTATTTTTATTTTTTGGATGCAGAGTCTTGCTTTGTTGTCCAGGCTGGAGTGCAGTGGCACAATCTTGGCTCACTGCAACCTCTGCCTCCCGTGTTCAAGTGATTCTCCTGCCTCAGCCTCCCCAATAGCTGGGACTACAGGCACGTGCCACCATGCCCAGCTAATTTTTGTATTTTTAATAGAGACAGGGTTTCACCATGTTGGCCAGGATGGTCTCGATCTCTTGACCTCATGATCTACGGCCTCAGCAGATCCCAAAGTGCTGGGATTACAGGCGTGAGCCACCATGCCTGGCCAACCTTCTGTATATTAAGCATTTCTTTCTATTGACTTCAACTCTATAGTTTAACTCTTTCAACCAATTGCCAGTCAGGAAATATACACCCTAAATGTATTGATTTATGTCTTTGCCTGTAACTTCTGTTTCCCTAAGATATGAAAAATCAAACCCTAACCTGACCACCTTGAACACACATTCTCAGGACCTGCCAAGGCCATTCCTCAGGCCACGGTCACTCTGACTTGCTCTGAATAAACATCTTAAAATATTTTTCAGTTTGGCTTTTTCATGAATATACATACAGTATCTAAAATGAAATGGCAACAGCGTATGTCTACAGCTGGGGCCTGGCTCTCCTCACTGGCCACATCGCCCAGGACACCTGTGGCCCATGATCAGATATACCAAGTTGATGTGCCCTGCCCCCAGGTGGTCCCTCTAATCCACCCCAGATATTTCCATGCTTCCTTCTTGTAGACTGTGGCAGGAGTGTCGTTGACCCAAAAGCTGAACACAGCTCTGATACCTCCATTTCTCCTGAGGACTAAACTCTGGTTTTTGAATCTTGCCCGAATTCCTGTTGCTATAGGAGTTAAGAAGAAATCACTTAGGCAGATAGTAAGAGTGTGGGAGTCCTCAATAAGTCTCTTAATTTTAATGAAAAGCATTCTCCAAGTCATTTTCTAATAAAGAGCAGACTGTAGAGTTGAGCTTCAGACATAGAAAAGCAAGCTGGGAGCTTGCCCGGGTGGATGGTGGCAAGGTCTGAGGACTGGACACTTTCCATGTTCCCTTCTCTGCCACCTTGCATACTGTAAGGAGCAAACAAGATGGTGCTGATCAACTGGAAAGCCCATTTGTGTAAGAAGATCAGGGTAAGGTGACCGGCCTTCCCCACGCACTGTGTGAATGTTATACCTGACGAACCAGTCCATGACCCCATGTAAGTCAGACACCACCTCCTCAAACCGGACTGTGAAAGTTGGCACATTCACTGCCAGCCAGTCCTCTCCACTCAGAGACCCCTTCCTCTACAGAGGAAGCTGTTCATCTTTCTCCTCTCTTCTACCTATTAAACCTTCGCTCCTAAACTCCTCATATGTGTCCACGTCCTAAATTTTCCTGGCACATGACAACGAGCCCCAGGGTATATGCCACTTCACAATGGGGACCTCATCTGGGATTCCGAGGCACAACATCCTCGAAACGGTGAGTAGAGGCACGAACTCCAGCTCTGTGCTTTCATTTCAAGGCTCTCAGGCTCCATTTTAGAAACAAATCAACTCAAATACTGGGCCCCCTTGAACCAGTTAAAAATGATTCATGTGGCTGCCAGCCTTACAAGACTTGGGGACAGGCTTGCTGGGGAGAACACGGAGAATCCCCGAGTACCGTGGGTTGCTGAGCATATTGCCCACGTTTAAACCACCTTCCTTTCACGGAGGACTTAGCTGTCGTGTGGGCTGGAAAAAGTCCTGGGCAACTGAGGATTTCTGGCCAGGGCCACCCCCTGGTGTTATCCAATGGCTTCTGAACTGACCCCAGCATCCGACCACCCTGCCATGGGGCAGCGGCAAGAGTATCTCCAACTTTCCTGTCGTGATTGCCTCCTTTCTTGTGTGAGACTACCCTATGTCATATCCTCTCTGTGTACGCACATGCGGGATGTTTTACAGTTCAGGGAAGTTGTCTTGTTTGGCAAGCTCAGGGATGTCATAGTAACCGGGGATATAGAAGCGTTTTTGTACCTTTCTAGGAACAGAGGGTCCCCCCATCATCCACAGTGAGCATCTCTCTCTGCCCTTGGTCCCGAGAGCACGTGGTGTTTCAAGGTCAACCCCACCAGTTAGTGGAACAGGGACCCTCTCCATGAGGCACATTGTTGGTCCCTCACCAAAACACCTAGCCTCCCAATTCTCTCCCCTTTCTTTCTTTCTTCCTTCCTTCCTTCCTTCCTTCCTTCCTTCCTTCCTTCCTTCCTTCCTTCCTTCCTTCCTTCCTTTCTTTCTTTCTTTCTTTCTTTCCTTCTTTCTTTCTTTCTCTCTTTTAAAAAAAGACGGAGTCTCATCATGTTGGTCAGGCTGGTCTTGAATTCCTGACCTCAGGTGATCTGCCTGCCTTGGCCTCCAAAGTGCTTGGATTACAGGCGTGAGCCACCACGCCCGGCCCTCTCCCCTTTCTACTAGAAACCAGTCTTCATGTTGCTTGGGAAAATTCTGCCTTGAACAATTAGGGGTGAAATATCCTCCAAAGCCAAATTTTAGTCTTTTTTCTTTTTTTATATATATTTCACGTGTTTATTCTCTGCTTGTTGAGGTCGAGAGTCTCATCTGTCCAGGCTCATCCCTGCCTGTGTGGCTAATTTGAACAGCTCCTGTCTTGCTTTTCTGCGAGATTACTTCTTGATATTTCCCATTTCTCCTATGACCACCCAGCATTCCTATCCACTGACTAGGAAGAATTAATGTTCTTTCTTTCTTTTTCTCCCTCTTTCTTTGAAACAGGGTCTTACTCTGTTGCTCAGGCCACAGTGCCGTGACCTGATCTTGGTTCAATGCACCCTTGACCTTCCGGGCCCAAGAAGTACTCCTGCCTCAGCCTCCCAAGTAGCTGGGACTACAGGCATCAGCCACCATACCCAGCTCGTTATTTTATTTTTGTGAAGATGGGGTTAGTCTAAGCTGGTCTTCAAATTCCTGGTCTCAAGAGACTCTTCAGCCTCCCCAAGTGCTAGGGCAACAGGCATGAGCCACCACATCCAGCCTAAAAATGTCATTCTTTCTCAAATTAAGCTATAACGGGCAGTCAGTCAAGGTGGTTCATACCTATAATCCCAGCACTTTGTGAGGCCAAGGTGGGTGGATCACAAGGTCAGGAGTTCCAGACCAGCCTGGCCAACATGGCGAAACTCGTCTCTACTAAAAATACAAAAATTAGCCAGGCTTGGTGGTGGGCACCTGTAATCGCAGCTACTGGGGAGGCTGAGGCATGAGAATCGCTTAAGCTTGAAGGTGGAAGTTGCAGTAAACTGAGATAGTGCCATTGCACTCCAGCCTGGGCGACATAGAGACACTCCATCCCCCCCAAAAAATTAATGATTTAAAGTAAAATAAAATTAAGCTACAAAGACAGTAAAATCCCAATAGAAATACCAAGAACATTGACAGGTGAGGGCTCAGGGCAATATGACTGGATGTGGGAGGAGTGCAGCCTTTTCAGGAGGAAAATAACAAGCTAAGGTGTGGATTCCTCCAGAAGCAGAAATATGCTGGGTAGGAATTTAAAATTAGCCTTACATTTTAAAACTTCCAAATTTTATAAAATAGATAAATAAATTAGAATTAGATTATCACAAGACAAGAACAAGGACCACAAACAACAAAGACCCAAGCAAACATTTCAGGTATCATTTTTTTACCTGTGCTGCCTGCTTGCGGTCCCAGCTACTCAGAAAGCTGAGGCAGGAGGATCGCTTGAGCCCAGGAGGGCGAGGCTACATGAACTATGGTCCTGCCAGTGAATGGCCACTGCACTCCAGCCTGGTCAACTACAGGAGACCCCATCTCTTTAAAAAAAGGAAAAAAAACCCTCCAAATATATGATTAAAACTTTCTAAAACCACAAGAAGAGGCTAAGCCCCCACCATAGGGGGCCACTCCAACCTACCTTTCTTAATTACTGATAGCTCAAGCCCATAAAAATTGGCAGCTATATAATAGACCTAACCTACCCCATTGAAACCTTGACAGGAGGGACACCTGCAGGGAGCACTGCTCCAACAGCCAGAGATACACTCCCGCCGTAAGGACCCGTGAAACCGTTCTGGCCAGTGAGTGGTGGGCACAGCTGAGTTCTGCACAAAACCTGCGGGGCCACTCCCAGGAATCTGTGTGCTGGGGGTGACCTGGGCTGGGTGAGGGGAAAGGCTGTGGGCCTGCAGGGAGGGGGCAAGCAGGCAGAGGGAGCAGGATGTTGGGAGGGTCGAGGCCCTTTCAGGAAAGTGCCCAGAGCAGAGGAGCGATACCCCCAGCTCCCCCACAGAGCATCCGGGGTCCCCTGCCGAGGTCCAGGCCTGGACCTGGCCAGCTCGGGAGCAGGGGCCCAGTCTGTTGGGGCCGGAGATGGGTTGGGGGTGGAAGGCTCCAAGATGCATCAGGGCCGGAACCCACAGACATCTCAGGTGGGTTGGAGGTGGGTGGAGGCGGCTTCTGTGGGGTGGTAGGAGGCCTCCTCTACTGGAACCCAAGGTAGCACGTGGGTAGGTGTGGGCGAGGTCAAGGATGATGAGGTATCTTTGGAACACTAGGAGGAGTCCCTGCAGGCTACAGTCAAGTGGGCAAGGTTCGAAGGGAGGGAACCCAGAGAATCAAGTTACAAGTTGATAACACAAAGAAAAGCAAACGCAGGCCAGCTCACACCTGTAATCCCAGGACTTTGGGAGGCCGAGGTGGTCGGATCACAAGGTCAAGAGATCCAGACTAGCCTGGCTAACATGGTGAAACCCCGTCTCTACTAAAAATACAAAAAAATTAGCCGGGTGTGGTGGCGCACACCTGTAGTTCCAGCTACTCTGGAGGCTGAGTCAGGAGGATCGCTTGAACGCGGGAGATGGAGGTTGCATTTAGCTGAGATTGTGCCTCTGCACTCCAGCCTGGGTGACAGAAGTGAGACTCTGTCTCAAGAAAGAGAGAGGGAGGGAGGAAAGAAAGGAAGGAGAGAAATAAAGGGAAGGAAGGAGAGAAAGGAATGAAGGAAAGAGAAAGAAACAGAAAAAAAGAAAGAAAGAAGAGAGGGAGGGAGGGAAGAAAGGAAGGAAGGAAGGAAGCAAGCAGGCATATGGCCGGGTGTGCAGTGGCTGACCACCTGTAATCTCAGCTTTGGGAGGCTGAGGCAGGCGAACTACCTGAGCTCAGGAGTTCGAGACCAGCCTGGACAACATGGTGAAACCCCATCTCTACCAAAAATACGTTAAAAAAAAATTAGCCTGGCAAGGTGATGTGCACCTGCAGTCCCAGCTACTTGGGAGGCTGAGGCAGGAGAATTGTTTGAACTCGGGCGGTGGAGGTTGCACTGAGACAAGATCACACCACTGTACTCCAGCCTGGGTGCCAGACTCCATCTCAAATAAAAAAAAAAAGAAAAGAAAATGCTCCCGGACCTCGGGGATTTTAAGAATATGCTGCTCAATAATTTGGAGAGTTAAACAGGAAATCATAACTGAAATCTACAAATTCCTAGAACAGAAACGAAATGAAACTCCATACGTCGCCTGGTGCAGCTGAGGCTGTGATTGAAGGGCCAGGCAGAGGTGAAACACACCAGAGGGAGCAGGATGTGAATGAGTGAGCCACACACCCACCCTAAAGTGCCTGATCACAGCGTTGTAGAGAAATGGAAAGATGCTGCCCGGGGTTATGGTGCCTCACACCTGTAACCCCAGCACTATGGGAGACCCAGGTGGGCAGATCACCTGAGGTCAAGAGTTCAAGACCAGCCTGGCCAACATGGTGAAGCCCCTTTGCTACTAAAAATACAAAAATTAGCCAGGTGTGGTGGTGGGCACTTGTAATCCCAGCTACTCAGGAGACTGAGGCAGGAGAATCAGTTGAACCTGGGAGGCAGAGGTTGTGGTGAGTGAGATCACAACACTGCACTCCACCCTGGGCAATGGAGCAAAAAAGAAAAAGAAAGAAAGAAAAAGAAACTCAAGTGGATGCCTGTGCTGTTTGTATGGATCAAAAAAACTTATGGAAGGCTAAGTGAGACAGAGTCCATAACTCACCCCTGGGAACTGAAGCCGGGGTAGGGAGGAAAAGGCAACCCTTGGTTTTATTCTATTTTGTTTCTGTGCCTGTATTACTTTCACAATAAAATAAACAAACTAGTTTCACTTTCACAACATGAAACACTTTATCAGGATATGCGTTTTCCTCCAGCTCCCAATGGTTTCCCATTACTGAAGAAAAGCCTGCCAGCCTTCAGCTGTCCTCCAGGGCCTCACATGTGGGTGATCCTGCCTAAGCAGCCGGACCCCCACACTGGAACTGGAGACCCTCTGAGTTCAGACCCTACTGGGCAGGAAAAGAGAAGGAAGCTGTGGGTGCCTGGGGATGTGGCCCTGGGGACAAGCCCCTCTGCACAGAGAGAGCAGGCACAGAGGACGTGGGAGGGTGGGATTTCAGTCCCCTCTCCAGCAACTGGCTGGCAGCCAGGGTGGCTGGGGGCTCCCCAAGGGCAGGGGCTGGGGAAACTGACCTCTGTGTCCTGGCCATGGTGCCATCTTGCTGGGAGCATGACAGGCTGTGTTTCACCTGCCAATTTGGCGATGCTTTCTCCTTTGGCACATCCTGAGGGACTTTGTTCTGTACTGCCCACCTCTGGACCCTGGGTCTGATGGCCGAGCTGTAGGCCCCAAGGTTCAGCGTCCAGTCTGGCCCTGCTCTACCCATCCCCCAAATTTAAGGGTTCTGAAGAATTTGGTTTTGTTTCCTCCTCCCTCCCAAGAAGCTGGGGGGATTGCCCACACCCGGTGTCCCCCACATCTGCCCGGTGGGGGCTTGCCCACCCACGTGTCTGCAGCCTATGGGGCCTCCTCCTAGTGTCCCCAAGATACCTCATAAACCCTGATCCCGCCCGCACCTGCCCGCGTGACACCTCAGGTTCCAGTGGAGGACGCGGCAGCCTGCCATCCCGCCAGGCCTCCTCGACCCACCTCCAACCCACCTGGGATGTCTGAGCGTTCTGGGCCGGGTGCTTCTTGGAGCCTTTCACCCCACCCCATTTCCGGAGCAACAGGCTGGGCACCTGCTCCCGGGCTGGCCAGGCCAGGACCTCGGCAGGGGCCGCAGGACGCCTGAAGGGCTGGGCCGCAGGTGCAGGACCCTGCGCGGTGGAGCCGAGAGCGTCCCGCTTTCATGACGGGGCCTGTGACCCTCCCGCTGTCCCGCTCCCTCTGCTCGCCGCACGCACAGACTCGCGGCCCCGGGGGCGGAACCGACCAGCCCCGCAGGTTTTGTGCATGACCCGCCCAGGCGTGGGCTTTCCTGGAAAAACGTCCCTGGCAGCTTTCCTGCTTCCTTTAGCGTGACCCGCGCGTGCGGTGCCACCCGTGAAAATAATATATTCACTGTGTCGTTTGCTGTGAACACAGGGTAGTTCCTGAAACTCAGCGGCTTCCTATAAACAGGCTCCTTCCTCATCTGGGACGTGGGTCCCTGTCGGGTCCGCCGCCTCTTCCCCGGCCCCTCCCTCCTGTCTCTTTCATTTTCCCGGGACTCCGGGCGCACGCGCGGAGAAGCTGCATCCTGGAGGAGCGCGTCTTGGAGCGCACCAGGTGAGGCGCGGAGAGGGGCAGGTGGGGAGCCGGAGGGGCGGGCGGGAGGTGGGCTTGGTGCTGGGGGCTCGGTGTTAGGGCCTCTCAGTGCATTCATTTGGGTCGCCGTTCCGCGCTGGGATGAGGACTCTGGGGCTGCGGCGCCTCTGCCTCCAGGACCCTCACCCCTGCTCGCCCTGAGCGCAGGCCCGGGTCGCAGCGGGTGTGCCCGAGGAGGGGCGGGGACGAGCTGCCGGCCAGTGGGGACCTGCGTCTCTACCCTTCTGGAAGCTTGAAGGGACAGAGGCGGCGTCTAGGACCCGGAGCTCCACTGAGTCCGGTGGGTCGGGGCCCCCTCTGCCCTTTCTGATCCTCGGCCTCACCCGGAGCCGTGAGCAAAACGCACTCGCTCACATTCGTGCACACAAGCTGGTGTTCACACGCGCAGGCATCTCGCACGCAGACACGCGTGGACTGTGGCTCACTCTTCGCGGTCACGCCTCGCGTGCACTCAGCAAACTCGTGAAACTGAAACTGTGAGGCTCCCCTGCCCAGGCAGGCTCTCAGCTGCCCCTTCTCGCCCTCGTTTTGTGTTGACTCTGCAGCCATCCTCACATGCAGTTCCTTGCCCACTACTTGTTAGTCACCTGCAGCTGGAGAACCACATTTTCTGCCTCTAGTGGGTAGAGGATCCCCAGCTTCTTGGAGGCCCAGCACGTCCAGCTGCAGGGGCCAGGACAGGGGGCCTATGTCCAGCAGGGCGGGGGTGGTGGCAGGGCCTTTCCAGGGGGCTGCTGCTGAGCCCAGAGCAGAAGGACAAGAGGCCACCAGCAGAGGGTTGAGGAGGAAGGGTTGGCCGGGTCCAGCCCCCACCTAGAGTCCCCTTTGGGCCTGCCTCAGCAGAGACCAGGGCAGGGAGGTCCAACCGTAGGCCCTGGCAGGTGGTAGAACCAGATCTTCCCCTGTCCTCCCTGATACCCCTCAAATCCCTAGCTCCTGATCCCTTAAAAGTCATTCTCAAGTCAAAGTCAGGGGTCTACCAGGACTGTGGTACAGGCCCAGGGCTCCCCGCCACGGCTGACTCATTCCACAGCTTTCCAGTCACCTGCCAGGGGTGGGCTGAAGGGGAGGGCACGCCACCTGCTCCTAGTACCACGTGGGCCTAGGTGAGCTCCATGGCCTCTGTGGGCCTTGGGCATCTTCTGAGAGGTATTGGTGAAAGACAGTGTGGCATGTGCTGTGTGTGCTCATTCTCTATGGAGACATGGTGTCACCTGTGCTCCCTGAGCCCCTGCAGCAAGTGGGAAAGCATGCCGGTCCTCTTGTGTGGCGTGCCCTCCCCATCAGCCCACCCCTGGCAGGTAGCAGGGTGTGGAATGAGTCAGCTGTGGTGGGGAGCCCCTGGCCCACACAGCAGACCTGGAAGACCCCTGTCTTTGACTTGAGAATGACTGAAGGGCTCAGGAGGTAGGGAGTTGAGGGGCACCAGGGATGAGAGGGGCAGGTCTGGTTCTACTCCGAGGCTTCAGGCAGCAGACAGTGCGTGGCCGCAGCTCTGTCCAAGCAGCTGGTGTCAGTGGCATTGGGTTACTGCAGGGAATTTGCTCCGTTTATTAGAAGAAAACTCACCCTGGCAACACAGGACCCTCAGGTCACCAGCATGACCACTGATCACACAGAAGGACCCCAGTGAACCTGGCCCAAGGGACCTGAGCTTCCACACACCCTGCACCCGTGGGAGCTGGGACAGGCTGGCACCCGGAACAGGAGGAGCGGGAATAGGCATGCACAGGCATGCCAGGCGGTGTGTGGGCTTCCCTGGGCTTGTCACTGGGAACAGCTCCAAGCCTCTGCATCATCCCTGGCCAGGGAGCACTCAGAGCCTGGAGCCCGCTGTGCCTGGTGCCAGCTCCTCGGATGCCAACCCTGTTTTCATGGGTTCAGACAAATCTGGTTGCTGCCTCCATTTTTTTCCTGCTCTAGAAGTTTTGGGGCTCTGTGCCCCCAGTCTCCTGTACCACACGTGGAGCCCCTGGCGGGTCACTGCCCCACCTGCCACTTTCCCTGTGGCTGCACCCTGCCACTTGTCCTCCCTCTGGTTTTTACCAACTGCACAGTATTCAAATCGAGCCCTTGACTCTGGTCACTAGGATGGCAGGAGAGGACTCAGGCAGATGGAGCAGAGTGCCAGGGCTGCTGACAAAAACAGAATCAGCAACATCTGAGCTTGAGACCGTGAATAGTGTTTTAATCTAAGTGTGTCCCAAGTGTCACATGGGACAAGCTTTTACCATGACATCATTGGCTGTTTATCTGAGACTCTGATGTGACCATTTCTGCAGGGTCCACTGATGCCTGGTGACCTGAGGGGCCTGTGTCACTAGGGTGAGTTTTTGTCTAATAAACGGAGCAAATTCTGCAGCAACCTAATGTCGCTGACACCAGCTGCCTGGGCAGAGCTGGGGCCACACACTGTCTGCAGCCTGAAGCCTCGAAGTAGAACCAGACCTGCCCCTCTCGTCCCTGGTGCCCCTCAACTCCCTACCTCCTGAGCCCTTCAGTCATTCTCAAGTCAAAGTTAGGGGTCTTCCAGGCCTGCTGTGCAGGCCAGGAGCTCCCCACCACAGCTGACTCATTCCACACCTTTCCCATCTCCTGCCAGGGGTGGGCTGATGGGGAGGGCATGCCACCTGCTCCTAGTACCCTCTGGCCTAGCGCTCACCACCCTTCATCCCTGGCTGGACATGGGTCAGGATTGCCATTGTCAGAGGGCGCTCAATGGGGGAATTGGTGAAGGTGCTAGGAAGAAGGTGGGGCCAGTGAGGGGCAGTAAGAGGACCCGTGTGTGAGAAGCAGCAGCCACCACCACAGGTGGGCTGGAGGACTTGGCGGGAAGGCAGCATTGCTGGAATGGTGCATCCCAGGCTGTCAGGGGCTGGGACCATGGAGGAGATGGCCAGAAAGAGAAACAGTGCCAGCTTCTCACTCCCACTCCCCTTGCCCTAACCAGGGCAGCCCAGGGCCCAGGGCCATCAGGAAGCAATCTGGAAACGAGGCTGGGAGCCGGGGCTGCAGGGTCCACCCTGGGCAGCAGACGCATCTGCCAGCAGCTGGAGCCTCCGAGAGCAGAGGCTCCACCATGCTGCTGGCCCCATGGAATGCAGAGCAGGTGCGGGTGCACTTGGGACACTCGGGTGAGGGGAGGCAGACACAGCCTTGGCAGGAGGAGCTTGGCATGAAGCCAGGTGTGTGCAGCTGGCCCTTGGGGGCCTCCAGGACCCAGCTGCTGAGGTCTGGCTCAGGGTGCAGTTCTCTGCTGAATCAGGGCTGACTCAGGACACAGATGGGCAGCAGAGCCAACCCCCGGGTTGGCAGGTGGGGTGGACACAGCATTCTCGGGGCCCTGGAGATCTGTGGCCTTTGGCTGTGTGCCCAGAGTCCCCAGCCCTAACACAGAAGCAGGGGCAGCCCCTGGAGGCATGTGTGAAACAGACTCAGATGCCTTCCAGCCTCCAGGTAAGGACAGGACCCCCAGAGCAGCACGGGGAGAGCAGGAGGTCATCCCCTCCCAGATGAGGTGGGTGGGGAGCAGAGGGGAGCCCCCAGCAGCCTGACCCTCCCTACTGCCAGTCTGCACGGTTTCAAGGTGGGTGGCTGAGCTAGCATGGCAGAGTGTGGGTGAGGGGAGCCACACCCAGGACCCCGCCGGGGTCTCCTTGTGTGAATCTCATCTCCATGCCGGGGTCTCCAGGTGGCCTGGGTCTCCCACTGCATTGGGGGAGGGGGCTTTGTGATCGGCTCCCATTCCCCAAAGATGTCACGTTCTCATCCCAGAACCTTACATGGCAGACTGTGCAGATGGGATGAAGTCACAGGTGCTGAGCTGGGAAGTCTATCCTGGATCACCCGGGGGGGTCCTCGATGCTCTCCAGGAGAGGGAGGGAGGAGGAGGGGGAGTCAGGGAGATGAGGGAAGCAGCAGGGGCAGGAGGATGGTGGCAGAGGGGCCCTGAGCCAAGGGATGCAGATGCCTCTGGATGCTGGAGACCGAGAGGGACAGATTCCCCCTGCAGCCTCCAGAAGGGACCACCCCAGCCCACCCCTTGCATTTAGCCCAGGGAGACCCTGTCAGACTTTGATAAGGAACCAGGGAAGAGAAAGTAAGAGGAGGCGGCCTGGGTCTGTTCCTGGCAGGACAGCGGTTAAGGCCCAGCCGGAGCCCTGGGAGGAGGCTGAGGCACGATGGGGGTGGGGCCCCAGCCTGTCTCCCAGCCCATCTGAGCAGCCCTGAGGGGTCACACAGGAACGGGGTTGTTAGTGAGGGGCCACAAAGGGTCTCAGGTGTGGGTTCCCTCCTCTCACGCCCAGGCCGCGGCAGGGATGTGGGGTTCCCACAGAAGGGACTGGACTCTACCGAG